AATTTATCACATTCTCATGAAATTACTACACAAGTAATTTCAACAACCCCAATTCATGCTATGCTTACAACATTTCTCATATTCTAGTTACACTATGAGTATATATAAACAAGAGATTGGATCTCTAATTATACTACCCATTTCATATGCAAACTCTAGGTTGAAAATAAACCTAACTAGGAGAAGAACCATAACTCTTAAAGTATAATACAAGTGATAGAAATTTCAACAAGCCCAATTCAAATTTCAAACCTTAATTTTCAAAAATCCTGTCTTTGAGGCTTCGGCGAAATACGCGATTTTTTTGGTACGTAAACGTAGCTCTCGTCGCATAGAACAACTTTCGTTATAGGCCCGAGGTAATTCGACGAAAGGTTGGTCCTAGATCACAAGGAGAAGATCGAAGAAATCCTTACTTTCTCTCTCTTCTTCTCTCTCTCTCTCTCTCTATTGAAATCAGTTGCTAAATGGGGGGAAAAATCTGATTTTTTCCCTTTTTTATACCCCTAGGATACTTGGTCCACAATGCGTCACACGTCTCGTCTTTTCCTATTTAGTTTTATCCCGAATCAATTAAATCTCGTTCCGTATTATATTCAAAATATTTTATTTGAACTAACTTAAAATTATTTTTCATATTTCGCAATTTATTCCCAATTGCGTTTATTTTGGTCACGCGATACCCGATCGCATTGTAAATCACAAAAAATCTAACTGTCTCAGAATTCAACGAAAATTGATTGAGTAACTAGATTTCGCAAGATGAATCTAACAGTGAAGTCCGTTTCTTCATCTGAGTTCTAGAAAAATGTGAATTTTCAACCCGTACCATAGCGCCTAATTACCGTTTTGTCATTTTTCATAAAATTCAAATTTTCCTGAGTTTTATACAAGTTCTCTTTTTAAAGATATTGAGTTTGGGTTCAAATAGGCCAACTATCAAGTCTGTCAAATTTCAAACTTATTTTTTTTGGGTCAGATGACAGGACACGTGGGTAACCCAACTATGGATACCCCTGCCTATAGGTGCCCTTTTAAGTTTGATTAAAGGAAATGCATGGTATCCCGAGGAGGATGGCGTGTAGCTTAGCTACTCTACAAAGTTGTTGAATTTCTAACACTTACTAATGTTATAGTACAAACTTCACCTTTTTCACCTAATTTTAAAATAAAAATAAATCATGTTATCTTATCGTTGGCTAGTTTTTCATTTTTGAGCATCAGCAATATGTTTCTTGGTAAATAAAAATAATGGCAACACAACCTATCAGTTAAGACAAAAATTTGTTCTATGATGACAAATTTAATCCAATTCGCCCTGTTACATTTATGTTTGAATTGCGGGTTAAAAATGGATAATTATGGTAAGATATGATATAAAAGTATATGGGGTTCATATTACCCCATGTTTAATAAGTAAAAAAATGTATAGAAAATCTAATTCGAATTTTATCCCAACTCGATTTAAAAAGTTAACTTTAACCCACTTACAAAGGTTAAATGAAATCCAGGGGGCTGGGATATTTTTTTTTCAGACATGATATGCAATGCAATTTATGGATATGCTCAACCCTTGCTCACCATTGTCATTGCTAACTCTTCTTCTTCGCTTACTGTTGTTGTTACTGTGTCTTCGTTGGTCTGATAAGGCTGAAGGAAGGAACTTATTTTTTTTATTATGCATAAACATATATTTTTATTATGCATGAACTTGTTAAAAAATAGATGTGAAAGTTTATTTTTTTTGTTTGGAATGGGTTGGAGGCTTATTTTTTATTATGTATAAAATAGGGGTAAAATAGTCAATGAGAGCAAATCGCATAATTCTTATCCATGAGTTTCACAAAAATGTATAATCCATTCAAACAAGGGAAAAGACTGAATATACCAATTTATATCCTATCTAGATGACAGTTGTATGGACTTAGATTGGATAGAAAATAATATTTTTATAGATATTCAATTTAATCCAACCCTGTCATCTAAATATACCCTTAATAGCTAAATCAAACACATTATTATATTCTTAAAATTGGTCTTCATGCTCACATGCAGACCCAATTTAAAAAAATGGATAATGTCATTCACAGCTGTGTAAATTGTCAATTATATGATAGCTCTTTAGATTTTCAAACATATCTCTACATTCATTTTTTATTAAAATATCAATTGGATAAATTACACTAGCATTTTTCTCTAGCAAATAAGGCTGGTCATGTTATAGGGGATTTATCTATGGTAACGAATAATTATTTTTTAGTATCGTGACTCTTTTTTTCTCTCAACGAGAACATGACACTAGTATAGTTTTTTTTTTCCCTAAAAATTACACTTCTCTTTATTATTTTCATCATCTATAATTGGATAATAAAGTCAGCAATTGTCTATTCATTTTCAATTATAGTGTTTGGGAACCATCGCATCATTTTTAATTGGGTGAAGTTATTCTCACCCCTTAAATATATTTTTTCACTCTATTTAACTTTTTTATTTTAAGCTATTAAGTACACCTCATCTAATTATCACCGCAATAATGACTAAGTTCACTTTATTTATACATAAACCATCAAAAAAATTCCTAATACATCGAAAATATTCGTAATAAATATCAAGCAAAACACAAAATAGAAGAATAAAAAAAATATATTTAGAATGAACATTAAAATCCTAAAATACAATATATGTAAATCAAATAGTATACTTAAAAGTTCAGTTGCCTTTTCTTTCATAACTATATCAAGTCACTAAGTGCTTCACTCAATAGATTATCTGTCTACTCCTAAATATGAAGTGCAAGAAAAATTTTATCTTTCGTATGATATCTCCTATCAAAAGTGCAATTGATAATAATTATACACTATTGAAAACTATAATAATGTACCTAAAAATAAAGAGACAAAGTCATAAAGCTAAAAATATGGTTGGACAACACAAATATATGTGTGGGAGGGGATAGGAAGAGAATACAATGGAGGAGTCAGATAGAGTTTATTATTAAAATGAATAATAGATTATAAGAAATGCGATAGATTTAGTTATTAATGAGTAAGTATAGACGGGGTAGACTAGTCACTAATGGGGTAGGTATAAATGAGTTGAATTTAGTAGTTTAATATTAGAAAGAGAAATATGGTGGAGAAGAACATTTAAAAGATAAGAATAGTCTCACCCTTTTTTAATTTCAGGACTGAAGGGACAAAGAAATTCACTACCGTCCTAACCAAAAGTAAAACAATAATGGTATGTGCACCACCTTGTCTACACCACTTGGTAAAAGTTTTTGTGGATTTTGAATTGTTCTAGTTTCATCATTATAAATGTGTGCTAATCTAATAATAATCTAATAACAATAACAAGACACTAAAAATTGTTTGTATTCCCATACCCATATAACCAACAAATAGTTTTTTTTGGTGAATAACACGTTGCACTTTGAAAGATATTCAAATTTTTATTTGACACTCTTAAAGATTAAAATTTTCAAATTGCACCTTCAATTAGATAAAGAAAATGTAGCAGTGTGGGGTCTAACAACAGATCGGTTGTTTTGTTTAACAATTTTGTATTTGTCTATATATTGTTTCTATTTTTATGGTTAATTATTTGTGTTTTACATTAAAATTCATACTCACTTTATCAAAATAAACTACATTGCTACCTTTCATGTGATTGAGGGTGTAATTTAAGAAATTTAATATGTGGATGTAAATTAGGAATCTAGAAATCTTGCATGGTACAAATTATCATTTGCCCTAGTTTTTTCACTTTCAGTTTTTTGGGAAAATTACTGAAACATATGGAACTTAATATATTCAATAGTTGTTGCTCTGATAATGGCAGGTAGGAGAAAACCAGAGCATAGAAGGGGAACCAGGAATAAGCAGAAGCAGAAGAGCATTAAAATCAGGAGAGGACAGTCAAGAAAGGGAAGGCCCTTCAATAAAGGATGTAACCCATTTTTCACTCTTTGAATATCCATACCATCCTTGCCTTTGGGCGTGTGCGGGGGTTATATGACGGCTATGGCATTTCTACTTTTAAGTAGAAATGTTGTAGTTTGTCTCTAATTAAAAAAACATTCATACCATCCTTGCCATTACTTTGGGCTAGCTAAACAAGCTTTGCTCAAGTGTTTGGGTTTGGATTTGGATTTGGATTCCACACCCGACAGCTCTTCCAACAGAAAACACAAAAAAGAACATTGATGTATGCACCCTCCACCCACACCCACAGAGACGCGCAACTGTATATTTGTACATATGCATGCATGAGCATAGAAAGACCCATCATTTATAAAATATTTCTTCCTTCTTTGTTTTTCTTAGAAAGCTTTAATATTTATGGTTCATTCTTAGTCTTTTAAGTGGGAAAATTGTAACAGAGATAGGTTTTTAAGAAACAATATTTGTTTTGCAAGAGAAATGGATTTTTTAGAGGGAGGGGAAAGAGAAAGAGAGAAATTTGAGTTTTAACATAGATAAATTACTCAAGGTGCTACACAGCAACAAATCTTTTTTCCTAATGTTGCTTCTCCATCCTCGTCATTGATGGTCATAATCATAAAATGGAGACATAAGCACCAAAAGCAATAAAATCGACGTCATTAACGTATGTGATCCCAAGAGGGGATTTTTTGCATTTTTGCATAGTCTACAATATTAAATAACTCAATCAACACACTCTCCGATGTCAAACAACTATACTAATCCACATCTACATCTCTCTCTTCTTTCTTCCCACATCTACAACTATAATAATCAAGAAACGATCAGATTGAATGAGTTATGATCGATATAACCACTCCACTGCCTACATTATCAAATCATGCATTTTTTTCCCCTAGATAAAGGGAATGCTAATAATTGAACAAGTGAAAGAAGGTGGAAGCTACACAATGAGGGAAGAAAACAAGATTGTCAACATTCTACATGTGTAAATATTGTTAACCTTTTTTTTCTGCCATAAGTGTAAATATTTGTTAACCTTTCTGCATATGACATGAAAAAATCCAGTAGGCGTTAGGCAGTCCCAAATTTGGCAAGTGACAAACCTTAAGATAATAAAGTAGTGACTGTAAGACAACTAAACACAGAACAGATGAAATAAAGAAATGAAAAGAAAACAACGCCCACAAATACTTGACGAAAATGAGGAAGACAATTTTCTTGTGTAGTTCCCTTGACACAGCATTTTAGGTCCTTAATCTCATTTCCCACCACCTAAAGATTAAAACTCCAAAATAATCTTATCTGGGTGGCACCAATATTACAAAAGCTGTCTAGATTGCTCTCACCATGTCACTTGTGCTCTTAAAGCTACAACTTAGCTCGGGAAGTGAAGTAATTGAGTGCCATCCTAGAAAATTTGGTGAGTGTGAAGAATATTTGTAAGATTGCACGTCCTTTAACAACCCCTTCCCGAATGCCCCTTGCAGTTCTAGCTAACAGTGGTCCTGCTGTCTGGGTTTCCATTGGGGCTACCTCCTGCATCGATGCTAATCAAGTAAAGATGGAAGTAAAATTCATCACTCCAAATAACTTTTAGGAGTCACTGTCAAGGAAAAGAAAGTTGAGAATTCTTAGTAACCTGATGGAGACATGTTCATCAACCGGCAAAACCTTTCCTCTGCCAAGCGGACAGCTCGAGTGGAGCTTCTAACACCTTGGGTTATCTCCTGTCTACACAGAAATCAAATGAGCATCTACCATAAAGTTTCACTCGACATAAATAAAATCATGCAACTAGCAGACAAGTATTCACAGTTTTGATGCTAACCCCAGGTCACTGAGCTCCATTGTCAGGTCGCTGATCTCCATTCCAGATAACCGAACAGCAGCCATTGTATCAGGGAGCTCTTCCCTTGTGACATCAAGAAGCTTCTCCAATGACTCAGCTGCTCTCCTAAAAGCCTTCAAGCAAGCAAATCAAACATAATGCAGGATAATTGAGAGCCAAAATATATCACTTACATAGCTGTATCATGCCCACTGTGAAACTAAAAAATCTAGTTGGAACGAGTAAGCTTAAGTTGAATTGAGATCACATTTTCTAGATAGCTAAAAAAATCCAATGATATGGATAAATACAGGATTACAAACCAGAAGAGTAGGGATTGCTGAGCAGAAGAGCCAAGTTGCAGAAACCGCCACCTGGAGCAAGAATGAGAGAGTACCAGAATCAAAATAGATGACAAGAACAAAAAAAAAAATACACAAGGCTGCCTTCCAAGTATTTTTATCTACAATTGCAGCAAAACCTCTCAATTGAACTTGAATTCCAACACATAAAAAACACCACACAAGATGCTACACTAACAAGTAACAACCATTAGTAAAGCAGAGGATCTTTCCTAATCGGGGTGGGTGACAACAATTACAAAACAACTCAATACAGCGTTATCCCAATATTTTTGCGGTGGAGGACAACTGAACTTGAAATTATATAGTTTTCTCACCAAATGATTAATAGTCATGATAGCAATCAAGGAGAAGAAAAGGACGAATACTTCGTTGAGGTCGACATACCGTATCAGATAAGATACTCTTTGGATAATCGAAGATACATATCAGATACACACTATAGTACCGTACATGTATTTGGATACTTGTCTTTTCTTTTTGAGTTCACATGTAATGCAAGTTGCAACATATCCATACGACTTTGAAGACAAATTAATGTTTCTTAAGTATTATCTACTATTATATGTCAAAAAAGTATAAATTGAGTTAGTTAAACCATGACTCTGGGCAACAAGAATTTCTCAGCAAACTAACCGGTTAAATCGTGCTTCCGATTCCCTTAATTAGTTACACTCACTTATGGATATACCAAAATGAGATGATAAATACTTTCTTAAAAATAAGAATTAGTAACTTTGTGTATTACCGGTAAAGAATTGATTAGAAATTGTAGTTAACAAGCTATTAGATATTATTAATAATTAAAATGCATTTTATTATAAACGTATTCTAGATTTATCTATATCCTAATTTTTAAAGTTTTCATGTATCGCTATATATGAATCGTATCGTACCTATATCTCATATTGGTATTTGTGCTTCCTGGCCAATATCTCAACTAATTCAAACACAACAACAACAAACAGCCCAACTAGCCCACTTCGGGCCACATTGTTCTTCCGGCACTGATGCTTTTTGTCACATGTTCATTAAGTTCCCTCAAAATGGAATAAATAAGAGCAGAAGGGAGATCAAAGCCTGAAAGCACCTCTTGAGCTCAGATATTGACTGAAAAATCAATTTTATTTGGTTTTGCTTTATGAAATTTCAACCTTCTTTTCTCGATCGGAATATGGATGAAATCAGAAAGTCCATCATCAAGGCAAAATAATGCAAGCATCTGATAGAGCAAAGGTCACAATGGCATAACGAAATGATTGTTTAGTCTAGGATGGATTTCACACCACAAAATCAATCAAGAATTTAGGGACATTAATATTCTGTTTCCACAAAGTTCCAACTTCCAAACTTTTTTTCATTTCTTCTCGTTTTCCTAACATATTATCAGCAGTGATTAGCCTCTATAAATAAAATGTTATTATCTTCGGACGTTACCATCTCTCTCTCTCTTTCTCTCTCAAAATATCTAACACCAGTGTTTAAACTAAACATAGGTTTAATTTTTTGCATGTCAAATTGACTATCGAAAAAATCAATTCTTTCTTCTCCCTACGTTTTCTCAGCAACTAAATAGAACTTAGAAATGAATGAGCGCACAATGCCACCTCTAACATTATTTTATCTAGCATACACCAGTTATCAATTATCAGCTTTATTTTTTTCAAAAAGTAAATTGCAATCTCTACAAGTCTTCAATTATCAACAGTAACATTAATGTTTACACTTCAAGCAATCAAGATTAAAGAAACGAAAATCCCAATTAGAGATAAATATATAGATGGATGTGTACATAAGAGAGAGACAGAGTACCGCACAAGCGATAAAATTGAGCACTAGGATGTGACGTTGAGTGAGGTTCCACTGCGAGAGCTGAAGCGAAGAAGAGGGCGAAGATCCAACGGTGGCAGTGAAGCGAGAAGAAATCGACGGCTCAGGTGAAGCATTGTCAGATTGAGAAGACAGAGACGCGAAAGTGCGATGAGGCATCCGGAGATTGAAAGTCTGACTAGCGGCGAAGTTTCCGACGAAACTCCGGCCGCAATTCGATTTCACCACTGACTTCCAGACCTGAAATTTCAGAGTACTCGACATTTGTTGATGCCCAGTACTGTGTGTGTGAGAGAGAGAGAGAGAGAGTGTGTTTTGGGGTGGGGAGGAGAGCGGATAACCTGTCAGTCTCCCTCTTTTTTTCTCGCAATCTCCGACTCAAACCAGGCGATGATGTTGTCAATTGGTAAAATATTCAATGCAACGATGTGGTGTCATCACTCGGAATGCGTAAAGTAAATATCATTACTTTTATAATTATCACTAACCACAACATTTAATCAATAATAAAAAAAAATAATAATAATGAGATCTACTCTGTCCATTCATTGCCTTCTAATTAAATGATGAAACTACGCACCGTTGCAAGGAATATTTTCTCCAATTCAACATAGAGGAAGGGTAATTTGGACATTATGAGGTAAGTTCGTCGGTCTTCATACTTGGCAGAGTCACCACACGTGCACTATACACGCATAGAAAGGTGGACCATAGTGAAAATTTCAGCTACTTCTTTTCTAATTTATTATATATTAAACAACACTTCTTCTATTTTTTGAATTTTTAATGACACCCCTATCAGATTAAAAGTACTAATTATAATACAATTTTACTAAATTGTCTACAATATATTGTAAAAAAAATTACATCCACATCCCCTCTAAATAGTCATATTGTCAATAAGACTCTATTTTTAAAAAAAATTTATCTATTAAAATTCGATTTGATTAAAAATCAATTCAAGTTAATTAAAATTTATTTTTTACATATTAAAATTCAAGTCGATTAAAAATTATATTTTTTTAAAATATTAAAATTTGAGCCGATTAAAACAATCAAAATTTATGGTCATGTTTGGTTATCATCTCGAAAACAGTTTGTTATTCTCAAAATTTCAAAAACACCCAAAACTTATTTGTTTAGCATTTTGTTCTCTAAATTTTGGAAAAAAATGAGATTTGAGTCAAAGAAACAGAAAACAAATGTAGCTTGTTTTCAGAGTTTTCTTTGAAAATTTTGAAAATAAGGAGAACAATATATATATAAATAAATATACGTATATTTATTTATATGTATATATACGAATTTGTATACATATATATATAGACACACAATATATATTTATACGTATTCATATATATATATATATATATATATATATATACATACGTATATATATAAATATATTTATACATGTATATATAAAAACGTATATACGTATATATATGTTGTGTGTGAGAGGTGTATATATATATTTTAAAGTTTGGTTTATTGAATTTTTTTTTTATAAATTTGTCAATCTAAAAATAATTTTTTTATATTTTTTTATTAATGTTTGAATTACTGTTCAAATATATATTTAGGTTGTCCAAACATGTTTTACTATTATCTGTATTGTAAAATTATTTTTGAAATCATCTAACTAAATAAGTTTTTTATCTCAAAAATTATGAAAACCACTTTCTTAAAACTTTTTTCAAATACTATTTTTTGAAACGCAAACCAAACAGACTCTATATTTTCAGCTATTGAATAGTTTCCAATCATCTCGATAATTCAATTAGCATAGAAATATCAACCATCATAGAAATAACCTCTTTTCTTTGGTATTGAACTCAAGTCAATGTTAATAGTTTTTCCTTCACAATAAAATGTTAGAAACAAGTGTATGTATGCAAGAGAGTAGAAGCTCTGGACTTCTATGATCTATCTACATAAACTCAGTAATACAAACCCTTGAGTATATGGAAGAGAACATAATTCCAGACCAACCATACAATTACAATAATAACATATGATTTGTGTCATTTTTTTTAATTCATCCAAGCGCCCCATTGCAATTGTTTCATGTTTCATCTAATATAAAATTGGTGGTGACATGTATGGGAAGGTTGATGTGAGTATCTTTGTAACAATGCTTATATCTGCTCTACGGCATATGAAATAATTCTACTTTGTTTCACAAAGTTCAAAGATGATCAAACAATTAACCCAACAAGAGTATGGGAGATAAGACAATATGTCTTATAATTAAATGGCTGCTAGTAATGGGCATAAGACCACTTTTAACAAACCTAGGTTGTGGCTAGTCCCACCATTTCCAATTTATCTCTAGTAGCCACTTATGACTAAATAATTCTATGCTCGTATTCAAGCACCACAAAGAAATTGACATTATGGAGTTGGACACCGATGGCTTCTTTATGATCTCTATGTGAGCATAATATGTGTTAACACTTTTTTTTTTAATTGGAGAGACAATTAGTCATTTTTTTCCTATGGGTCCACATACCGAACAGGAACACAATAGATGAACTAAATAATGGTTGGACCGATTGGGTGCGTAGTGATAAGCTATATAACCATTTTTTTTCTAGTGAGAAAATTTCAAAATAGATAATCATTTTTACGATTCATCCTTCTTTAAGTCCGTATCTAGTGTATACTAGTCTAAGAACGTTAACCCAATATATAACAAGTAATAGAAATTATTTAAAAGAAGGAACAAAGTTACCCGATTGATGATTTCTCTGAATGAGAAAAAATGTATGAGAATATGCCAATGAGATCATGTGCATTTGAATTCTTAGAGAATTTATCTTTATCCATATAGGTCCTACCTATTGCGAATTAAATGGTACACTCTAATTCGTCTAAGATTCATATCATTTAATTCTCATTGATTAACCTCTAAGATCAATTTTTTCTGTTAAGATCTCATGATAATTGAGTTATTTCCATTGTGCTGCTACGTAGGAGCCCATATGATTGAGCTTCTTTATGTTGGGATCAAGATCAGTTATAGACCATCATAGAAATTGAATCATCTCAAAGATACCATATTTCATAATCATCTCAAAGGACCTAAATAAAAAGTCTTTGGTTTCCTCTTCAATTGAGGTGTATGGCCAATATTACTCCTTGCTCCACGAGCCTACTTTTTAGGCCAATAGTCACCGTGCATGTTGGCACACTATGCTGCGGACGAATGGCATTTTTTTTTTTTTTTTGGTGAATTCATACTCACACAAGATCAAAGCCATGTGTTGTTCATATAAATAGCTTTATACGTCAATATTATCAGAACTGGATCAGTCGTCGAACCAACAAGGGGATCGGGACAATAGTTTACTTGTTCAACTGTTGGGTCAACTGGTCGAACCGGTCATATAATAAAAATATATATATAATAATTATAAAACTTAATAATTTAGCTAAAAAAATATAAAATATGTATAAAATACATAAATTTTACCATAAAATTAGTGAAATTAAGTAACAAAGCGGGGGTTATTGTATTGTAAAGTAAAGTAAAGAGGTTCAAGTAAATTATAAAGAAAAATAAAGAGTGTCATTTATAATTTATCCAAGAATAAGGTTAAAAAAATCAACTATTTGCTGATTTAGGGCAAAAAAATTTATTTATGTAATTTAACTTTTAAATAGGCATTAAACCGTCCAGTAAAGAAAAGTAAAGAGGTTTAAGTAAATTATAAAGAAAAATAAAGGGTGTTATTTATAATTTACCCAAGAATAAGGTTAAAAAAATCAACTATTTACTAATTTAGGGCAAAAAAATTTATTTATGTAATTTAATTTTTAAATAGGCATTAAACCATCCAGTTTTTATAAAATCGGCGGTTCACGATTTTTGTTAAAAATCGGCCGATTTTTCGGTTTTTAGCCGATTCGCTTCCTTAAGCAGTTCAACTAAGGAACTGGACCGATTAGGATCCCGGTTCACGGTTGAACCAGTCCGACCGATCAGTCCGATCCGATTCTGATAACATTGTTATACACTATTCTTGTGCACTTTATTGTTGCACTTACGGTCTCATCAACAAATGCTCGTTATAGTAGCAAAGTAAGATCGCCCAAATACTTATGTTTTTGTAATTAAAGGAAACTTGATCATTGATTTTCACATACGGCGTCAATTGTAAGGAGAAAAATTTGTACCTATCAAAATAAAAAGATTTGTTTGGGATGAGTACTCGGGATCGCGTTTGATATTCAAAAAGAAGAAACTGTCATAGACCAGTGGGTATCAGTCAAAAGCACTCTGATGCTTAAGTCAGTAATAACATAAGAGAGTGTATTCAATTTTCTAGAGAAAGTGTGCATACCTTATACTTAAGCTTTATTGGTATTTATAGGGAGCATGTCCCCGATTATTTAGGACTACCATCTTCGTTGGAATATGATGGTACATCTAAATTTCAATCAAGTCATTTCTTAATTTGTGTTTGACTCTTATAAGGTTTCCTTTCTTATTAGTTGATTTAGGTAACATGTTAATTATGTGTTTATATGATTTAGGCAATCTTCTTATTGGCTGTCTAGTACCGCCTCTGATTTTTTGGGATAACCTAACTATCTGCTTAGTCAGATTTTGTCCTCTGCTTGGATGGACCCACTTTAGCGATGGCCTAGTTATCTGATCGGTCGAATTTTATCTTCAGCTCGGTCGGACATACTTTAGCCCAGTCAGGAGGGCCTAGCTATCTGTTCAATCGAATCTTATCCACTCAATCGGACCAACTTTAGCTCGGCCAGGATAACCTAACTACCTGCTTGGTAATAATAGAGTCATTCCAAATAACTCTTTTCAGCACATTCAACTTGTCACATTTTCAAGTCCAATTGTCAGATAATGATCAGAATTTATTGACTCCTTTACTAGTAATTTTAATTTTTTTTCCGAGTGCTCTGTTCAGTTGCAATGGCGTTGGTGAACCTGCTGCAATCGATGATCCTAGGTAATTGAATCCTACTGCAGTTGTTGAAACTGGGTTATTGACTCTTGCTGCAGTTGCTGAACCTGATCCAGTAGCAGAAACTGATTGCTGATCCCAACGATTCTACTATCCCTCTTCACATACAGATGCAGTCTTCCCTTTTTTTTCGCACTATTCCATGTGTGCAACTTCTACGATTGTAACCAAATTTCCCACATTTCCTGCAGCTCATCACAGCCTTGTGTTTCCCTAATTTCCCTTCATTCCTCCTTTCATCTTCCTCCCTCCTCTTCTGTTTTTGGGTCTGCTAGGCTGAACAATTAAACTAGGTGGATCAAAGGCATTTTTTCAGTGCCACAAGTCAGGTCCATTAATGGGATTGATAAGGTGCACATATAATTTCAGATAGGATTTCTTGGAGTAGCAGTCATGCACATAATTTTTAGGTTTGTCTCCCTGATGCAAAATAGCAAAAACTGCATGTGCACCTGAAATTCCACTTAATTGTCACTTTCTACATGCACATGTTGTCCCCCTCAAATGTAGCCCATAACATCCTTTGAAATGTCATCCAATTTTTTCTCAATTCTAGGACATAAAGGACAAGGGTGTCTTCTCATGTCATCTCTATATGTTTTCTAATCCTTCTCATCAACGTCAATCTAATATTTTTTCATCATTGTAATGATCAGTTTCTTCTTTGTTGCCTCTGCTATGACACTATTGAATACCTTACAAATGTTGTTTATCAATATATCACAGATTCTACTGATGGGGGAATATGCTCTGCACCAATGTTGAGGTGAAACACCTGAATCTAACCACATAAATGCACCTTCATCTACATTCCTCATATCTCCCATACACTTGTTAAACTACTCCGAAGTGGTTGCTTTGGCACATGTTCAAAACAATATGGAAAACAACTTGTCCTCATACTACTTCTTGAAATTACTGAGATGGTGTCTGGCACAAAATCTGTGCTCACAATCTGGTAAAAGGTCATGAATTGCTGGCACCTTCCTACAATTTATCTGCTCTGCAAGTCACTTCTACGAGGCCTAAAAATAGTAAATAATCTTTGTGCTGTTTAGACCAACTCGCACAATTAGCTCAATTAACCAAAGTCAAAAAACGAGCTTAATACCTTTTCTTCTTTCTCCTTCCTGTGTTTTCTTCTTCGTCTTCACCGGCGAATCCAATTACCTGTCAAATCTCTCACCCACCATCACAACATCTTTATTCTCCAACCACAAATACTTCAATGCAACAATCGAAAGTGGTTGAAAGCAATTCAAGATACTTAACATGGAGTCATAGTGTGTGAAAATCAAACCCATAACCGAGTAGGCAGCAATATCAGTCGACCAGAGTTGGAATCAAACTAGGCTTCGCCTGTGTTCAGACCCAGGAAATGCGTGGAAAACATATGGAACAAATCAACGCTCCAATGGGACCCTGGTTATGCAATTTAAGAGATAAGGACTAGGTCATGAACAGTTGATAAGGAAACTACATATTCAAAGGTGCACATTATAAACATAACCTAAAAAATTGATTGACGAGAAAGGCAACATGAAAAAATTCAATCACGTATTTGGTGAGACAGTATTCTTTCTCAACCACTATTCTAAACACTAAAAAGTCAAGATACCCTCATAAATACTGAATAAACTTGAGTCTAAAGTACACAATTCTATTCCTGTTAATTATTTGCTCAAGTTCAAAATTTTTACCAACTTAAACATCAAATTGCCTCGTGCAGGTTAAACCTCACAGTTAACATTGTGTACATTTGACTGTGAAATTGGACGTGGGCATTGTGTGGGTATTCTGTCCTTGAAAAAAAAACCACTGAAGTTTTACAGACGAGAGAGAGAGAGAGACTCAGATTTTCCTTCCCATTTACACCTCATATGTACAAAATAATGCCCTCAGCTTTCCCTACAAAATTCTTATAAAGAGTTTTCTTCCCAATCCTTCTTTCTTCACACAAACCCATATACACACCGATTAAAATACATTTCCCATTGCAATACCTAATGAATAATCTACACTTAGGATATTATACTCTCTCTTTTTTGTCACCTTAATTGCTTTATCTCAAATTCGTGACATTCCTAACAACTAACTTATATCCTATTCCTTAAACGATCCATCAACCACCATCCGTCTGCACAAAAAACAAAAGCTTGGCCGTTGTGATTCCGCCTTTTCAGCAAGTGAAACTCCATGAATGGGTAGAAATTAACTCGTCGTTGCATCAGTCCTAACAACTTCCACAACGGTTGCATTGCAAAAGAAACACCTCTGGCTATTAAGGAGATGCCTGGATATGCAGCCGAAGCAAGATATGTGGGAACATGGTACAAACTGGCTGTCTGCTTCACACGCATAACATATGCAACAAACACTGTCATCACCATCTGTATCTCCCCCACGTCTCGTCCTCTCTACCTCCCGCAACTCAGCTCGATAGATCAGGAGGTTTGAAAATTCCTCTAGCTGCCTGAGTTTTGCAAGATAAGTATCTCCCCTGAAGGATCCAGCCTGTCAAATTGTTGAACAATATTGTAAAAATTCGTGATAAAGACAAATATAAAACTTATCACATACAATCCCTTTCCAAACAGTGTTTGAGGCCATACAAAAATTTCAAGAGGGCCAAAGATAAAACAATGCACAAGCACTGATGTTGCTGCACACACGACCAATCAGGCATAAACGACCACAGAAAAACCAATTCATATTCTTCATGCAAATCCCTACAAGCCAAATTCAAGATTTTTAGGCACTCTAGGAGGATTTACTTGCAACTCACAAACAGCAATTTTAAGTTGAACATTACCAACAACGGAAAATAAATTCAAAAAATTGGGGAAAGTTTTAAACATTATCAATGAAGGAAAATACATGGGTGACAGCTATACACAACAGGAGGTACAGTAATTAATTATGTGTGCTTTCCTATAAACTTGAACCAAATAGAAAAGTTACAACAGCAGTCAATTTCAAGCACTGTTCCATAGAGAAAACAGATCAGAAAGTAATATCAGGCTGTAAACTCCAACCCAACCCTGCTTTTGCTGGCCTTCCAACAAAACCAGCACAAAGCAAGTTGGACTTGCTCAAACAGACAGTTGGCTATATAGCAAGGTTAAGTGGGCATACTGTTCAGGTTGGTTTAGAAAGTTTCTTAGGCAGTTATCTGATCAAACATAAATTGAACCATTCCCTGGAATGTCATATACTTGATGCTCACGAATTATTGACATTATTGAACAAAGTTCAAAAAAAATTTTGAAATTACAGGAAGATATGTTCAAGTGAATAAGAGACCTCTAAACCAATCAAAGAAATATATTCTTATTTCAATTACATAATACGGAGCTGAACTATTGTATATTGATGTAATTACATGTGATATATGCAATGAGTGCATGCATATTGTACAAGAGGTTCGGTTTGGTTGGGTTTCCCCAAGTTAGGTCAGATTGCTGCCCAATAACTCAAATGAACAAACTTTAGCCAGACACAGGAAGGTTTGGCCCTACTCATGAGCATTAAACATGCACAATTTTATGAATGTAAACTAACTTATGGGTCAGTAATAAAAAGAGGGATCTTAGGCACTGAACAAATTATTGCACCTTGATCAAAATGAGAAGAGGGGTAGACATCAGAGGAATGAGTGTTTAGTGCACATGTTTGTAGGAAAAGATATGAAGAGTCTGGTTGCAGTACTAACCCAGTTGTACTCTAAGAGAGACTGAAAACCACAAAGAACAGTATTGGGGCAGTCCATACTAGCAAACACCCCCACAACATCATTCTGCTTCCCGCAGTCTGTCTTAGTACTAGCATCCAACAAATTTAAAATGATACCAGCAAGAGGTGCTAAAATCATGCCTCTGTTGACTTTCTCTGGATTTTGACCAGGACGTCTAAGTGACCTGCAGAAGTAACATGCAAAGGAATCAAGGAAGGAGATTTTATGAACCTTAAGCAGTTCTACATATTACAGTTGTACTGGTACAAATCACTACAAAGACATAGGTTACTTCCATTTTTTCATTTTTTTATTTTTTTTATTTTTCCCCTTCAGTTAGGAGAAGGTGAGAATAATTCAAAGAGAGAGAGAGAGACACTTAATGTGCAACAAGAGTAAAATGGACATCAACTGCACAAAAAATTGACAACTTCTATTGAAACTCACAAGTCGAAAAGCTCAGGATCAGCTGCTGAAGTTAAGTAATTTAGAATGAAGACAATCAATTCCATGAGCCTATGCAGGTTTGTATCTGCCCCTGACAAAAATGCTTGAGGTATCTCATGAGTACAAAACTCTAGCACCCTCACGAGATTGCAGGAGAGGTCAAATATGACACTGCATTTCCTCTGCTGAAAATCCATGACCTGAAAAGGATGTTTAAGAAGAATTATAAATTAGACACAAAGGACAAATAAGAGGCTGCATCAAGATGGAGGAAAAGAAAAAGAATAAAAATGCGCACTGCACCTGTGCGAATACCAAGTTCTTCTCCTTTCGCTATTATTAGTTGTGTTATATCTTTGCGTGGAAAGCAAGGAAAATGATTTGGACTCAAAACCCATCAAGGCAAAAAAAAAAAAAGGGATTCAAAAGGCAAAGAAAGCTTTAATAAAAAAAAGTAACTTCAATTTCTGTGCAGTTCATAGAGAATTCACCAAATTCTTCACCTCAGTTGGAAAATTATGCAAATTGTATGGATATTTGGATCAAGGAATTGTACCAGGGTAATGCATATGTAATCATTTAAACAATACCTAGGTCTCTCTTAATATTCACCTGATAAAGCATCCAATTTTTCCAGTGTCTCTTCTTGGGATCATTTAGAGGATAATAGGGTGACATTCAAAGGGATACAGAAACTTGGCATCTGATATAGTACTACTGAAACCAGACTCCTCATTCAATGTGACTTATAAAACATTGACTTTAACTCCATAATCAATTATAGACGTAAACAGAATCAGGACTGGTCACATCATTTCCGATTGACAGCAAAGTATTTGTCAGATTCGGTCTAATAGCTAGTCCTAATAAATGTGTTTGTGAACTAGCAACAAACTTTAAATTCCTGTATACTCGGTCATTACTAAATGGTACGAGACATTGCATAGAAGGAACACATTCAAAAAGATCAAACTTGAAACATAATGCTGAATCGACATAAAAATGACTGAATATGAACAATTCAGAGAGAAAGGGGGGAGGGGGGGGCATCACAGGATCAGGTAGCAAGTAACTCCCCACATGGACCTAAGAAGTGCATTTATGGACAAGGACACAACGATACAGATAAATGGACATGGCATTTTCAAAACAAGATAAAAAAAATAGAATACGGGCACGACAGCGATGCACTAAAAATAATTGTGTTTTACATATAATTGTAAAATTTCACAGCACAGGAAAAAGAGTATTTTATAATAAGTAAATCTTACATGTAGTTCTCTAATGTTAATCTATAGACAAAGGGATCACAATAGTCATTCATAATCGATTTGTTTATAGCCAAACTATAGCAAACATACATAATTATAATGGTTGCTCTTATCTTTCCAAGTCTTCTTGAGTAAGACTTTTATGCATCTTTTATTTTTATTGATAAATTGCAAGTAAATCTTTAGCATGATACGTAAAATGACCAAGACATGGCACTTGTCATTTGTCATAGTATAAGATAGTCATTTGTCATATTTTTCAACTTTGTTAATTACATTTCGACATATGTGCACTTTCCATTGTAGACAAGGCCTAAAGAACTGTCGGACACATCACCAAAAGCATATCGGACATTGTCCAAAACCAATATTGATCTTTTAAGTATTGGCACTACTAAAAGAAAATTGAAAACGTGCTTGAGAAGTGTCAGTGTCCGACACTATACATCGCCTGAGTGCGCTTGCTTCTTAGACTTAGACAACATTGTCATTACAAATTGACCAAGACATGGCATAGAAGAAACACATTCAAGAAGATCAATCTCAAAATGCACCAATGAACCCGCCAAGTAAATTCCAATGTTCAAAGTTTAACCAGTCAAAGATGCCATCAATAGATAGGCCACAATGAGAAAAAAAAAACGTATGAATATGAACAATTCAAAGAGGAACTCTTCAAATGATCGGCTAGTAACTAATTGCCCATGTAAATGGTTCAATCATCATCTCATCAACAACCAGAGGACCATGTACAATATCAACACACAAAAGCACCAAAAATTAGCATAGTAGCTTGCATAGTCTTCAATGCCACATGCTTGGTAAAGCTATATCAAACATAAAATTTAGAGTGGTGTGTGACCTCTTAAGTGCTTTGGACTCCCATTGGATTATAATCCCTTGGCACTGAGGTTTTAGATCTAGTTGAGGAGAAAATTGGAAGAGTAGATGGGAGCTTTAAAATGGGGAGATTTACTTTAATTCAACCCGTTTTGGCTAGTATCCCCATTTACTATGTGTCTCTTTAAGATGTCAAGTGAAGTGCCCAATAGAATTGAACATGATCATTTGGTTACTTGGGATTTGGTATCACATTATCCCAATTTAAAGTTAAAAGTGGTATTGGTATTGGGAACTTGATTGCTAGAAATGTGGCCCCTAAGGCTAAGTGGTCATGGAGATTTCTTCTTAGATCAAATTTCTCTTAGACATGTTGTTATCAAGAGCAAATATTGTGTACAAGCAAGTGGACAGGACACTAATATTGTTGAGAGATTCTTTTCCATGACCTTGGAAGTTTATATCTCAGTTTTTGCCTCAATTTGTGCAGCACATCAAATTAATTGTGGGGCATGGGGTGCATGTTTGATTTTGGGACGATATTAGGTTGGGATTCTTCTTTCTAGCCAACTTTTTCTCATATCTATCCGAGATCAGATACATGTAATGTCTTAATTGCTTAAATGATTTTGTCTTCTTCCCCTTCAATTGATTGGAATCTTAGTTTGTCAAGGAATCTTAATGATAAATATTTCTTAAATTTGCTCTTTACTATCGTTGCTGAATACTTTCTCCTTAGTCCTAGAGCTGTTAATAGAAGATCATGGATTATGGATCATTCTTGATTGTTTTCGTGAAAATTACTTAATGAGTCTTTGACAGATATTCCCATTTTTCCAATTTTCCTCCAACTTTGATGCTTTAGAAGGTGAAAGTGCTCATTAAGGTCCAAATATGCATAAGGACAATTACTCATTGTAGAATTAACACTAATTATTCGCTTCAAAAAATGAGACCTCATGGTTGTTTATTACCTCAATGGTGTGTTATGTGTCACAATATCGAGAAAAGTATTGGTCATTTGCTCTTACACTCTAGGAAGCACGTACACTTTATTTTTGTTAGAGTGTCAGTGTCGAATACGTCTGGGACATAAACATGCTAAAATGAGTGTCCAATTTTGTTATTATTAAATTTTTTTTCATGTCACCTTAGAGACACACAACCGACACGCTAGGGTTGGTCATTTGCTCTTACACTCTACAAAGTACATACTTCATTTTGGTCAGAATGTCTGTGGGACACGTATGGGACATGGACACACTAAAATAAATGTCAAATTTTGTTATTGTTAAATTTTTTTCATGACACATTAGGGACACCCGACCGACACGCTGGGAACACACTCGATGACATATTTTGAGATTTTTTGTCAAATTTTTGAGAACTTGTCTAAATACTTTATAATTAAGGAAGTTATTTTTGTATTTTAAGGAAATATAGGTCAAATGCATAACATAGAAATAGCTACAATCACTACATGAATATAGGACATGGATGTAATAAATATAAAAATGTAATAAACTTGTTATATGATAACAATGTGATGAAAAATAGGTTACAAAATTAGAAATATTTGAGATTGATGAAAATTTGGGTGGCAATGTGGGATATTTTTTAAAATAGAAATTATAATAAGCATTGATTGTTAGATCATAAATATTTATGATGAGTGTGTATCGGTATATGTGATAATAAATTTTTTATTCGATGATATCATGATGTAAGTTGTTAAAATAAAAAAAAATGATGAATTGAATGATTATTAACAAAATATATTTATTTTATCAAATCATCACATATATATAATATAAATAAATACATATTATTGAACGTGTCTCACAACATGTCCATGCCCTATTTTATTGAAAAATTGTGTCAGTACATCCGTTTCGTATCTGTGTCCATGCTTCTTAGCTTTACAGTAGTTACACTGTTGGGATTTTGGCGGAAACACTTTCAGTTGGCATATTTGAGCTGGTATTCCCCAAATATTGTGTCTCTATTTATGGAAGATCTTATAAGGGCTTAGGAAGGCATAAAAAACTATCATTCTTTGGAGATGTACCATTCTTGTTACTTTTTTGGATAATTTGGTTGGAGCGCAATGCTAGTGTTTGAGGGCAAAGAGTATTGATTGCTTGTGAGATAGAGTACATTTTTTTGGCATCCTTGTGGGCATTGGCGACCAAGGAGTTTGATGGTTTTTCCTTTTTTTACATGTCGCATTGGATATCATTATGTGGCCCATAGTGATGACTTTGTTTTTGGGCTTGGTTTGATGTATGTCTCTTTTTTCCTTTTATTCTGATGAACTCTTTTCTTTTATTTCTGTATTAATCCTTGGTAGGATTTATGGTCCTCCATGGTATCTCTTTTTTGTACTACTCAAACTTCACTGATTATTAAAAAAAAAAAACTGGACACAAAATGAGATATATCTAAATCAACTGTTTTTGCAAGAGTAACAATGGAACAAACATATTCGTACTTCAAAAATGACATACCTTGTAATTTTCTTGCATTTCTCGAATCGAAACTGAGAATTCAGTCATTGCCCAGCTGAGGGTGTTGAACAAGCGATTGAGAAAAGCTGAAAATAATTCTTCATCATTGACACAAGCCTCCCGCAACAATTTCTTTTAAAACAAATAGCCAACATACAAAGTAAAATTAACCTCATGAGTTACTCTACATATGCAAAAGAACAACACAAACATGGAAAAAAAAGTCACATAAACTAATGCAAAATTTCACTGTTTCACCTGGAAAACAACTGATGATGTCGATGATTCCCCACGCTTTGAAGAACCAAAGCCAAAACCCTTGCACAAACGCAATAGTATATTCGTTACAGGGATCCAGGATCTGTTATCAAATGCTGATAACAATGCTTTCGGCATTGATTCAACTGCTGCTTCATTGCACTCAAAAGCAACCAAGAATTCCTTGTATTGTACCAAGACGGAAATGGATTGAAGAAGAAGATCCCTCAACTCTGCGCTTGATATCCTTGGATCGTTGAAGTGGGTAACAACAAAAGTCACCTGATCAAGGATATACCCTAAAAATTACTTACCAAGAAATCCATGTCTACATAGTAAACTCAATAGTACCATTACCAAGTATTAAAATTTCTTTTCGGTGCATTATTTTCATCATCTAGGAAGCAGAAACGTTTTAACGTGTTTTAAAAATATTTCGACCATAACATTTTAAGATTTATTTTTCACAATATTGGTCGAAATATACCAAAGTATCTTGAAATACCTTGGAACATTCCGAAACAATTATACAAATGCATTAAAACATTACAAAACACCTCAAAACATTATAAAACACCTCGAAATATTAAAATTTTCGGTTCCATCACTGATTCATTTCGATCTCCTCAGAAACGGAAACGTTTCAGACGTTACAACCGTTTCAAAACGAAATTTTGATCATTGGCCATTACCATTGATATTAGATGGTCTTGGATATTTATGATCTATTGCCCATGTAGTAGCATCCAGTAACAATTTTATATATAAGAGGTCACCTTTTACCCCGAACAACAAAAAAAAATATGCCATCAGAAAAAATGCATAAATCATCACTTCAAATATGCTACCTAGTCCCCTTCCCCTAAATTATAGTCTCTTTATAGTAAACAAACTTTTTAAAGGGATATTTTCTATTAAAATTGTAGCAAGAATGTAAGGCTTACAAAACTAGCCTATACTTTAATTCAAATTTTTGAACTTCCCTCTCGAGTTGGTTTCGAAAGTTGACCTTTAGGGAAAAATTGGAATGTTGAAAAATACAGTACATTGAGAGGGACAAAAGCTTTTGGACATCCCAAAAAGGAAAGGAAGTTCCTAATTATGGGACATATATTTTTTTACCATACAATTAACTTGGTGGTAGAAACTACCTATGGCACATACTAGTTTTGAGAAAAAAACAAACAGCCAGAAGCTAGGATGTGAAACATTCAAGAAAAGTGTAGAGAACTGCAAACAAATTTCACTCCTTCCTTCTATCATCCACAACACCTATAAAGTGGTATTTCAACCTTGTTGAAGATAAGATCTCGTGATTTATGGGATCAACCAAATCGATTTTAGATTCTTGTATATCTTAACCCTTTCAATTGGGGGGGTGTCATAGTATCTACAACTTATATATAAATACGTAATTCATGTATAGTCACCACAAGTGAACAAAGATGTATCCCTTTGTGGTTTTTGTATGTCGTGGATTCAGGTTTAAGGACCAAAACACGAGACAAATTTATTGCTTTCACTTTTGTTAAAATACCATGATATCAAATCAGGTTTTATCTTCCCATCATGGATGACATTCTGCTTTGCTGATGAGAGTCATTTTTAAATCTGTCTGTCGTGCTTATTAAAAATAAGAAGGATATTTCAGTCTGATATCTCTTTCTGTGATCGTAATTTCTAGTGCAGTTAGGTTGATTTGTAAATCATTACCAGATAGTCTTTGTCCAAAAAAAAAAAATCATGTCAGCACAATGTCTTACATCATCGTTAAAATACACAGAATAAGTGTGGGTCATTCCCCATTTTCATCATCATTTGAATTTTTTCAGAACCCAACAGGTTCAGAGTTTCAGATAGATAATAGCATCGAATAAAGATGGTAATGATGGCATGGTGCTTCTCAAATGCAGAAACCCTAACCATGTGTAACCCAAGCCAGATCAAAAAGAGACTGTCATTTCAATGGCTGAGATCATAGCTAGGACTTACTATGGATTCTCAATCACCAGAAAGTCTAAGCTATAGCAAATGAAACAAGCTTATCAGACAGTCTTCGTATTTCCATGGACTCCTTAGTGGAAGCTTTACTAAACCATGGCTTCAGTTTATATCAATGCACTGAAGACATGGTTTAGTAATGCTATGGATTCTCGATCACCAGAAAGTCTAAGCAATAGCAAATGAAACAGCCTTATCAGACAGTCTTCGTATTTCCGTGGACTCCTTAGTGGAAGCTTTACTAAACCATGTCTTAAGTGTATATCAATGCACTATATCCTAGAGGTGTTTTGAGGCTTCTGAGATGAGATGTATGTTTGGTTTTTCTGTGGATGTTAGCCATGATAATATCCTTCCTCTATATGAGGCAGCATTATTTTTTTTGTATGGAGATGCTTCTGTTGAAGGGTAAGAATTGATTGGCTAATACTAAAGGTAACTTCTTTTAAGGGACAGTAGTCACTGCACTGACAAATTTGGTCCATATTTGGAAGTTTGGTCTGGAGCATACAAATGATTTTATTCCAGCACTATGCACACGCTATCATGCGAGGAACATCATGTGGGACATGTGCAGCACTCTTCTTGTGACATTCATTGTGATTTATTGGTTTCTTGCATAAACATCCCAAGACCACATACCTTCTCCTCACATAACATAACCAAGTTTCTAAAAATTTTTGTTTCCTGCCCATTCTCTTCTCAAGTTATATTTCTTACCTCATTCTGCTCCGCTCTATGTTATTTGTTAGTATCAGCTCAATTTCCAATTTTATATCTGACACAAGTTCAGATCGTCTTCTGATTGTATCCAATCCTATTTCAAACCTAGTTCCTGTTCCTTTTCAGATCCGGTCCAGTTTTCATTTCTAGATCAATTCATCTATTATAATACAATTCAAATGTCTAGCCCAAATTCCCAAGAAGTGTCATTCCTTGCATTTTGTTTCTTGTATTTGCATGATGTCCACCTCGTGCATGCACACGCTTCATCTATTTATATTTGAATGATGATCATTCTCTGCATAGTTTCTCTCAATTTGTCATTGATGAGAAGTTTAGACATCCATTTTCATGGCAAATTCCACTTAATGCATTATTTCGTGCAACCTAAACCGTCACATCTCTGGTAACTTCAACAAATTCAAAGTCCCAACAATCATTACATTCTTGAGGGAAAGTGTTGGATGCGATTGTCAATGTTGTTAGCATCGCACAATACATTTCGATGCAATGGAAAAACGATAGATGTATTGTTTTTTACACAATGCTTATTGAACGATACGTTCTAATTGTTACGTTTGGAAGATTAACACAATATTAGAGACAATATTTAGGGAGAAAGAGAGAGGTTAATAACATAACCTAACTCTCATACAACATTTATATTTATAGTTAACTTACAATAATAAGAATTACACATACACCCTCTGACTATTAACAATTTACATATACTACCCTAATATTCTTAATACTCCCCTCAAGCTGGACTATATATATCATATAATCCAAGCTTGGAACAAATCGTTGTAAGACGTGTACGACTCAATGTTTTGGTAAACATATCTGTAAGCTGATCTTCAGATTTCAAAAAAGGAATTGCAATCTCCCAGCGGCTATCTTGTCCCGAATAAAGTGACAATCAACCTCAACATGTTTGGTTCTCTTGTGAAACACCGAATTGACAGCAATATGGATAGCTGTCTGGTTGTCACAAAACAGAAAACTGTAAAGGAAGTTGAACTAGAAACTCAATTTCCTGGAGGAAGTATAGTAGAAAGTCAACTCACTCGTTGTATGCGTCATTGCCCTATACTCAGCCTCAGCACTGGATCTTGCTACCACGGATTGTTTCTTACTCTTCCATGAGACAACGTTACCTCCTAAGAAAGTACAATAACCAGTGGTTGATCTCCGATCAGAAGGAGAACCAGCCCAATCAGCATCTGAGAAACCTTCCACTCTAAGATGTTCATTAGCTCGATATAACAATTCAAGTCCAGGAGCTCGTTTGAGATATCGCAAAATACGAGTAACTGCCTCCTAATGTGGTACTCTAGGACACCCCATGAACTGACTTACTATATTGATTGCATAGGAAATATCCGGTCGAGTAATAGTAAGATAATTGAGCTTCCCAAACAATCTGCGATACCAACCCGGATTCTCAAACAGTGCACCATCATCCATCAAAAGTTTCTGATTCGGATCCATAGAAGCATCAATATGTCTACCACCCAGCAAACCTACATCCTCTAGCATGTCAAGTACATATTTCCTCTGAAATAAACAAATACCCTGTTTAGATCGAGTCACCTCAACACCCAAGAAATACCTAAATTTTTTCAAATCCTAAGTATGAAATCGATCCTGCAAGAATATTTTTAACTTGGCAATCCCCTCAAAATCATTTTCAATAATCACAATATCATCTACATAGACTACCAATAGAACATATCCAACATCTATCTGTCTATGAAACACAGAATGATCTGTCTAACATTGAAGAAAACCAAACTCTAAAACTGCATGTGAAAATTTACCAAACCATGCTCTCGGTGACTGCTTCAAACCATACAAAGATTTCTTTAACCGACATACACTCTTACCATACTCCCCCTGAGCAGTAAACCCAGGTGACTACTCCATGTATACCTCTTCAACCAAGTCACCATGTAGGAAAGCATTCTTGACATCTAACTGAAACAAGGGCCAATCAAGATTAGTAGTCAAAGAAATCAAGATATAAACTGAAGAAATTTTGGCAACAGGAGAGAAAGTCTCTTCATAATCAACATCATAAGTCTAAGTAAAGTCCTTTGCAACAAGTCTGGCTTTGAGACACTCCACAGAACCATCCGGATGAAATTTAACAGTATACACCCAACGACAACCAACAGTTCGTTTACCAGGAGGTAAAGGAACGAGATCCCAAGTCCCGTTATGATGTAAGGCATCCATCTCGTCCTCCATAATTTTTTTCCAACCCGGATCAGATAATGCATCCTGTAAATACTTAGGAATAGATATAGTAGATAATTTAAAAGTAAAACAAGAGAAGGCAGGAGACAAGGCATCATATGAAATAAAATGAGTAATGGGATGATTAGTAACACACGAACGAGTACCTTTCCGAAGAACAATAGGTAAAGAGTCTAAATTATCTGATGTACCAAGATCAGAAGGCGACAAGGAAGACGGTACGGGTACCTCAGTCGATGGGCGAGGACGGCGAGAATAGACATGAAGAGGTAAAGTAGATGGTAACACAGTGGACAGCGGAATATCTGACAATGAGGAAAGAGATGATGGTATAGGAGATAACTCAATGTCCATATTCAAAGGCTAAGAAGGTGTTGGAAAATATGGAATAGATTCCTCAAACATGACATCGACACTAGTAAAGTATCGGTGCAGAAAAGGACTATAACAACGATACCCCTTCTGCGTGCAGGAGTAACCAAGAAATACATATTTGGTAACTCAAAGGTCAAGTTTGTCGAATCAAGGACCCAAATTGTAAACATAACAGACACATCCAAAAACCTTAGGAGTTAGGAAAAATAAGGACTTAGAGGAAAAAGAATAGAATATGGACTTTGCCCATTTAACACAGAGAATGGCATACAATTAATAAGGTGAAAAGCAGTAAGAACAGCATCACTCCAAAAATATCGGAGAATATTCATCTGAAATAACAAAGCACGAGTGACTTCCAACAAATGACGGTTCTTGTGTTCAGCAACACCATTCTGTGGAGAGGTGTAAGCACAAGAAGTCTGATAAATAATGTCAGTTTTACTAAAATAAGCTGAAAAATGATCAGATTCATATTCCCGAGCATTATCGGAATATAAAATACGTATACAACAACCATACTGAACTTTTATTTCCTTACGAAAGGTCTCAAATATAGAGAACAATTCAGACCGAACTTTCATCAAAAACAACCAAGTCACACGAGAATAGTCATCCACAAATGTCACAAAATAAGGATATTTATTAGATAAAATATTCTTTATGGGACCCCATACATTAGAATGTACTAACTCAAATGGACTAAATATATGATTATTGACTCTAGATTGAAAAGACACACGGTGATGCTTACTAAGTTGACAAGCTTCACAAGACAAAGACGATACATAGCTAAGGCTGGAAACTTGGCGCTTCAGATTCTAGAGAGAGGGATGTCCAAGACGACAATGTCATTGAAAAGGAGACGACGAGGTCTGTAAGACCAAGGTAGGTGAATCAAAGTCAAGATAATATAGGCCATCAGCTTCATGCCCCGTATCAATCTTCCTCTTCGTCTTGAGATCCTCAAAGACACAATAAGAGGGATAAAAGGTTACGGAACAATTAAGAGAATGGGTAATCTTACTAATGGAAAGTAAACTAAAAGGAAACTGAGGAACAAATAAGATGGAAGATAGGGACATATCAGGACTAAAGTGAGTAGTCCCCAGACTTGAAACTTTAGAACAAGTACCATTAGCAAGAGTAACACTACGTGTGAAAGTAGCAGACTGATAAGTAAAAAAAATATCAGACGAACCAGTCATGTGGTCAGAAGCGCCAGAGTCTATAATCCAGGGACTACGAGTGGACAATAAACAAGTGGAAGCAATACCTGACTGGGCAAAAATAACAGTGGAGGGAGATGGGACAGCCTGTTGCTAGGACAGGAACTAAGCATACTCCTCTCGTGTAATAGTAACCAACCCAATGTCTTGCTTGGGTTTCATAAGTGTAGCAAATAGAAAAAGAAAATCACTAGATCACTAAACCAGACAAGAATCCCCTACTACACTGCTGAACCGAAGAGGAAAAGATTGCTGGATCACCAAACCGAGTTGGAGAATCTCACTGGAACACTGAACTGGATCTGATAAGTACACTAGACCGCTGAACCGGACCAGAAAAGGGTACTGGACTATTGAACCAGACTAGAAAAGGCTACTGGATCACTGAACCAAGCTGGAAAAGCTAGCTGTGTTGCTGAACCGAACAGGTTGAACCCTCTGGACCACTAAACCGGGTTGGAAAAGGTAGCTGGACCACTAAACCGGGCCGATTTGACTTGTTGGATCACTGAACGGGGCCGGTTTGGCGTGCTAGAGCACTGAACCGGGTCGGTTTGGCGTGCTGGATCATTGAACTGGGCCGATTTGGCTTGTTGGATCACTGAACCAGGTTGGTTTGACTTGCTAAACCTCTGAACCCGAATCATAGCTGTCTGAACTGGTCTGAACCACTAAAATTGGGCTGAACCGAAACCAACTAGGGTTGGATCAGATTTGGGTTGACCCAAAGTGGATCGGGTCTGGGCTATTTCTTCTTCGTTGGTTAGGGTTACAGAAAACCCACTTCTGTGCTGACTGTGCCTCAATAGCAATGCCACCACCACCACAACAGCCACCGCAATAGCCACGCCACCACCACTAAGCTCATCGACTGAGCAACACCACAACTGACCACAGACAACACAAATCGAACGTCGGCAAACACAGGACCACCACCAACACACACCGAACTTCGCCAAACACAGTACCACCACAACAGACCACCACCAACAATACCACCACAACAAGATTCCGATAAACACAGTACCACCACAGCCAGTATCAACACCACCACGATGCTACAACACTACCACGACAATACCAAAACCACCACAACAGTAGCAACAGTAACACCTCTACGAACAAAATTTATTCAGAAT